CCCCCCCCCCCTCCCCTCCCCTCCTCAGTCGTCTTCTCTCCCCTGTTGCCCCATATCCCCTTCCCCCCCCCATCCTCCCACACACCCCCTTCTCAGACAAGCTCAAAGGAGGCAGGGCCATGAAGGGAAGCCAAGGCCACGAAGTGGAGCGATTGCATACAACATAAGCGCTACCAAGGGACACACAAGATGCGATTTCATAACGGCTGGACAGTCATCTGTGACACAATGATACCCGGTGGGGGAGAGGTGCATCTCAGAATGCGTAGCCACGGCCTTCCCCATCCTGGGTGAAAATAGCAAGAAGGATCCTCCTCTCAAGGGTACTCAGGCGGTACAGCGTGATGTTCACCAGAACGGCAGGGGCTACACTACCGTGATGCTGAGCTGAGCAGATTGGATTGAATAACAACCCTTATTCAACCCTTTTGTCTCATAACTACAACAACACGAGGAGGTTGACCGGATTGTTAAGTTTTTGTCAAATTGTAAAGAGGGGATAGGATGTAAAGGATTTAAAGGGACTGACATAGCAACAATCAAATGAGGGGGCTGCTGAAACAGGGCTGGCCTAATAGATAATGGGTGCTCCTAAAAAAGGGAAGGGTGACACTAGCAGCTCCATGGGATAAGTGAGCCCTGGGATGAGTCATCAATAACCAGAGTCCTAGGATTCAACAAACACCAATCTATGTGCTACATGCTGTATCAATGGGACGCTGGACCCGGTTTCCAGCAGGTGCCGCTCCCCACCAATAGATGTAGCAGCCCAACAGATAAGCCCTCAATTCTGACGGTTCCCTTACCACCGCCAGGATAGAGGGATATTGCAAGGGCTATTCTCACAAAAAAGAAAAAAAGAAAAAAAAAGAGAGAGTCTGGGGCTGATAGGGGGAGGTGCCATTGAGACTATTTTCAAATAGCGTTTTTTTCGTAGTTCATGTGTCACACAAGAGGGAGAACTAGTGTATAGGCGTAAACATCTGGCGCCGGGCTCCGGGCGAAGAGGTTCCCCCCCTTATTTTTCCCTTTTTCATTTCCCTGCTCAATCAATCCTCTGGGTTTCCAGGGCAATCAATGCTGGCAGGAACCTCCCACAATTTTTTCTCTACTGTACTCCAATCTCAGTCTGTAAATGGGACGCTGGACCCGCTTTCCAGCAGGTGATGCTCCCCACCAATAGATGGAGCCTCTCCCCAGGTGCTAGTGGTGTCTGCTCCTATCAGCACCACTAACACTGGAGGGGGTGTTGTTTCCAAAAAAAAATAACAATAATAATAATAATAATTGTTGGAATGGAGGACGCTTTGGAGGTCTTCTGTGTGCTCCGTCCTTGCTCCACAATTCTGTGTGCTCCGTCCTTGCTCCACAATCTACTCCATACCATTGCATATCTACCATTGCCAACTGGTGGCGCAGGAAGGGATCGGGAGATTCTGTGGATGGTCGCAGTGGGATCTCCTGGCCCACCAACGTCCGGTCTTTGAATCAAATACAGTAATCCTTTTTGAACTCTTCCTGATGGCATTCCTGGGTAGGCCTGCTGTGGCATACTGCGCAGCCACACGGGCCTGCAGGGCCCGTCCCGCATTCTCAGCCTAAAAGCCTAGAAATAAGGGCTTACAGGCCCCTGTCGTTTCAGCCTGAAAGACTGAAAAACGAGGGCCTGCAGGCCCTATGTCGTTTCAGCCTAAAACAGGGCTTTTCAGCCCTGAGGTTTTTCAGCCTCAAACGGAGGGCCACTTTCGGGCCCTCATAAGATTGACCTGCCCTAACACTCAGGCACAAAACCAAGGTTTAGGGAACAGGCTATCTTTAGCCTGTTCCCACGACAGCCTCAAGCACGAGCTGCAGCGGCAGCCCCTGACTCCCTTCGGCATTGGCAAGAGCAGCTTCCTGGACTGCCTCGCCCTGCAGTCAGGTGGCAGGCCGAGTAGTTCATAGGGAGTTCCCATGCACTTCACGGGTAGGTAGTTGGACAGAAGGCAGGAGTAGTGTTCAGGCTTCGGTCGCAGCACTCAGGAGGAGCGCTGCAGGAGTAGCTTAGCGCTAGCAGTAGTCTTCAGCGCTGGGCGCTAGTAGGTGGTAGTAGTAGAGTTGGGAGAGATGGCTGGCGGAGGCCAGTGAGACTTACCTTTGGCGCCATAGCTCCAGCTCCATCTTCGAGGTACCTGCATCAAGGCGCCAACTTCACAGGTTAGTATCGGACTGAGAGAGAGAGAGAGAGTTCTTCTTCTTCCTCTTCTAAGTCCACCATCTCTTCTTCCCCTCTCACCACCTTACTTCTCAGTATCAGCGGACTACTACAGAGAGAGAGAGTTGTGACTTGAGACTTGACGACATTGGATCTAGACTCGACATTGGGATTCAGACATTTTGACGAGGGACTATTTGGGCCTGTGCCGAAGACTTGGTGTTGACGACATTCCCATCTTCCCCTGTTCTTCGTCTAACCCTCCTCTTCTTCGTCTGTATATGGTTGGGGCTGGCGCATTCTTCCTGTGTGAGCACCAGACCCCTTCACACCATGGAATGATGATGATGATGGATGCTCGGGGCTGCATTGCAATATTGATTGTTCGGATCATTGGTATCTAAGTTTTCCGCTGCGCTATCTTGTACTTTGTATTGAGAGGTCGGTTCTTGTTCTGGTCTGCACAGTTACAGTATGCAACAGTTTGGTATCGGAGCGGACCTCTCATTCAGAGGACCCGCTCAATCAAGTAGCCAGCTTCCTTGATCTATTGATTACTCATTAGTAAATCAAGTTGGACTTCGTCAAATCTCTGGAAAAAAAAATTCACGCAACAAATATCTGAAAATTTCTGATAATCGCATTTCGTTTTATCTGAAAATTCCTGATAATAGCATTTCGTTTCTCTGATATTTCGCATACATAGTGGAAAATTTCTGATGTTAACATTTTGTTTTCTAGGCATATTAGGATAACGATAGAAGTGGTCATATTCTCGGAAACCGGATTTATTTTTTTCTGAAAATCGAATCTCCATTCTATCTCGCAATTTTTTTTGAAAACCGGAATCTTGCGAAGCCTACCAGCGTTGCGTTAGGCATATTAGAAGGTTTCCATATTCTCAGAAACTGGATTTAGTTCTTTTCTGAAAATCGCATCTCTACTCTATTTCGCAAAAAAAAATTTCAAGATCGCATTTTATGAAAGCCGAAACTTTGCGGAACCTAGCCTAGATCTCGCTCATAGTACTCTTCAGACATGTCTCACTCATAACAGATCGACAAATATACAAAAAAAAAAAAAAAAAAAGGAAGCAGTCCTCTGTTTTTTTTTTTTTTTTTTATCTGTTGATTAGGGCCGGGAGGAAATTATTGTTGGGTTGGTTCCCTACCTGCATTTTCCCTCCCACCCACCCCTTTGCATGCATTTCCGGGTTGGTACAGTGCCACGTCAACAACAGTGCCACGTCAGCAGTGCCACGTCACCCACAGTGCCACATCAGCAGTGCCATGTCAGCCACAGTGCCATGTCACCAGTGCCACGTCAGCGACAGTGCCACGTCAACAGTGCCACGTCAGCAGTGCCACGTCAGCAGTGCCCCGCCACCATGACGGGCTCAGTTCTGGGTATGCCAGGCCAACTGGCAAATGAGTCCATTGCCGAGTACTGACAGCGTTTCGAAACTCAGCTCGCACTAATCGCATCTGAGGAACAACGCCAGCTGGCAGCCGAGGCTGTCCGGCTACAGGCTGAAGCGGCAGCAACAGCTGAGAAGCAGCGGCTTCAGGCCGAAGCAGACGCAGATACCCAGGCACGCCGCAAGGAAGCCCAGGATCTGCTACAGCGGCATGAAGCCACCAGCATCGAAAAGCTCAAGTTTTGGCACTTTGAACCATCCGAGGAGCACGACGACGCGACACCGGAAGAGCAGCACAAGAAATTCATGGCCAAACTCGTGACCAGGTTGGTTTACACTTGTAACCACCTACAGTCCGAGTTGGCGAACCTCCAGCGGGCCGTACGGAACCACAAGGCTCAGCACGAAGATGCAGCACGGGCACTCGATTCCCGTGTACAGGACTAGGAGCAAACTGCACCAAGACCGGAGGCTGGCGAGTCCAGCAGTGCACCCTCTGCCCGCCAACTGGAGGAACGAGTTGATCACGTAGTCGCAATGCTCGGCGACATCAGTACCTTCGCTACACCAGCCACCATCAGCAGCCAGCTGGACACCTTGAAGACCGAGGTTCAGCAACTGCAGCTCCCTAACAAGGATGGCAACACCGTGCAACACTACAAGATGCCGACATTCCAAATCGAGAAGTTCGATGATTATACGCATCAAGACCCGGTCCTCTGGTGGGAGGGCTTTACAACGCAACTTCGGATTTTGTTCGTCGCCAAGCACTCGTACATCGGCGCCCTGTTCCTCAACTCAAAGGGCGGATGCCAGATCTGGTTGAGCCACCTGGCAACCGTCCACAGTGTCGACGTCGCAGATCTGAAAGACAAAATCTCTTGGGAAGAGTTAAAACGGCTATGGAAGAAGCGGTTCATCGTGGACGACGCCCCGACGCTCGCCATCAACCGCCTCTTCGCTATGACGTAAGGCAACATAGCAACACGTGACTGGCTCATGGAATGGCAAAAGATCGCAGCAACGCCGAATCTCGAATTGCCATTTTCGCATCTGCGCCGAGAGTTCTACAACCGGTCATGTGCCGCCTTGAGCCTTGCGCTTGGTGATCGCGAGCAATACGCGACCTTCGCCGAAATCATCGACAAGGCAAGGGAGATCATCAAGACCAATAGGGCAGCTGCACATGAGAAATCAGCATGGCAGCCAACCTATGTGGAGAAGGTGAAAACCGGTCCGCGGCCGCAGCATGTCGCTGCAGTCCAATCGGACAACATTGTGGAAGACCCGACAACCACCCAAGCGTCACGTGAGGGAGATCAGGTGGCTGCTGTCCAACCGCAAAGCAACAACAAGTCCCGGGGAAACGGGAAGGCGAAAACCGCATCGCCGGCCGGAAATGGACAGCCAACACCATGGGTCAAGTTTCACTTGACCGAGGCGGAATACAAGTGGCGCGGCCGCTACGGCTGCTGCTATTGGTGCAACATCACCAAGCACAAGACCTTCCAATGCCCGGATCAAGGCAAGGAGGATGTTCGGCCTCGTATCAACTCGAAAAACTGAGTTACGCGGGAGGTGAGGCGACTTCACTTCTCACTCCGCCAGATTCGCCGCCTTGCTAGCGGCCTCCTACACATCTGGGGAGGATGCGCATGTCGCAAGTTCTCGATACACTTACGAGGACTATGCTGTCCACTTGGTCCTACCGTTGGACCAACCACTCCACGTGCAACACTCTACCGCATGCACGGTTTCATCACCATCAGCAACCGATTCGGCAGCTTCGCCGCCATCTATCGTCGGGGATTCAACGTCATGGTCAAGACTTGAAGAGCTTGACCCGTTGACGTTTGTGGACTTCCAATGGATGCCCCTTCCCCGGTCCGATCGATTGCCGAAACCGCATTGCAACGTGCTCATGGCAGAATTGCGGGATTACTTGCACACTACAGTACCAACTCCGTTGATGGACGCCGGAGTAGAGGTTGTCGATCTTCACACCTACATTGCGAAGATCGACCGCGAGTTCAAGACACAACGGTACGACGAGATCGACGCACCATTGTTATATGTACGCATTCAGATCAAGGAGGCAACCTGCAACGCTTTGATCGATTGCGGAGCATCTCGCAACTACATGAGTCAGGACTTTATGGTACGCGCCGGCCTTGGCCCACGCGTCCGGAGGAAGTCCCAGTCTACGCAAGTCACTTTGGCAGACGATCACACGCACAAGTCAATCGACCTGTGCAAAGATGACGTCCCCGTGTACTTTGCCCCGCATGCAAGTGAGGCGGTGTCCTTCGATATCTTGGACACCAAATTCGACATGATCTTGGGCATGTCATGGCTGCGAAGCAAGGATCACCCGGTGAACTTCTTCAACCGCACCGTTCACGTTCGTGATCGGAACGGAGTATTAGTTCCATGCACGGTGCCTCTTTCTTATCCTTCGATCAGCTGCCACGTGGTATCCGCCGCAAACATGCGAGCTTCCATCATCAGAAACGACATCGAGGAGATGGGGGTGTGTTTTCTCCACGCCCTCCCGCCCCATGACGCTTCATCGACGGACTCACCTTCGGATCCACGCATCACCGAGCTTCTCGACGCCTACGGCGATGTGTTCGAAGGCCCGCACGGAGTAGTACCGGATCGGCCCATTCGCCACGAGATCATCCTCGAGGACAGGGTGGTACCTCTGCGTGGTAGCATCTACCGAATGAGCGAAGAAGAGTCAAGTGTGCTTCGGGCACAACTCGACGACCTTCTGGAGAAAGGCTGGATTCGGCCTAGATCATCGTCATACGGTGCTCTTGTTCTCTTCGTTCGGAAGAAGAACAAGGATCTGCAGTTGTGCATCGATTATCGCAAGTTCAACGCGCAAACGGTCAAGAACGCCGACCCTCTTCCACGCATCGATGACCTCCTCGAACAGTTGGGCGGCGCCAAGTTCTTCTCCAAGCTAGACCTCAAATCGGGATATCACGAACTCGAGATCCGGCAGGAGGACCGTTACAAAACCACTTTTAAGACGCGATATGGGCATTTCGAATGGTTGGTTATGCCGTTTGGCCTTACAAATGCCCCAACCACTTTCCAAGCAGCTATGACAATGGAGTTCCGACACATGCTGGATCGTTTCGTACTTATCTACCTCGACGACATTTTGGTGTACAGTCGGAGTTTGGACGAGCATGTGGAGCACCTGCGCACCGTTTTGGAGCGGCTACGACAAGCCAAGTACAAAGCCAACCGCGACAAATGCGAATTCGCGCGGCAGGAGCTGGAGTACTTGGGACATTATGTGACACCGCAAGGCATCCGTCCGTTTGTGGACAAGATCGAGGTCATCCGCGTATGGCCCGAGCCCACCAACACCACGGACGTTCGTTCATTCATGGGATTGGTGGGCTACTATCACCGATTCATCACCGGATACTCAAGGATTGCCGCACCTATGACGAGATTACAATCGCCAAAGGTGTCATTCGTATTCGATGACGACGCACGCCGGTCATTCCAAGCACTCAAGACGGCCATGCTCATGGCACTCGTCCGTAGCATCTATGACCCCACCCTGCCTACGGGAGTGACAACTGACGCTTCCGGCTATGGCATTGGGGCAGTCTTGGAACAACACGACGGCGATGACTGGTACCTTGTGGAGTATTTCAGCCACAAAGTGCCTCTCATCAATTCGCTTGATGATGCAAGGAAGAAGGAGCTGCTCGCGTTCGTGATGGCTCTCAAGCGATGGCGGCACTTCCTCCTTGGGCGTTGTAGGTTAACATGGGTCACGGACAACAACCCATTGACCTACTACAAGACGCAGGATACGGTGAGCAGCACGATCGGGCGATGGATGTACTTCATCGACCAATTTGACTTCACACCGAAACATCCCCCCGACCTCTCCAATCCCGCAACAGATGCACTCTCGCGAAGACCCGGTCTTTGCGCTATGACACATCATGCCTTCGCATTCGACGAGGAACTCCAGCGACACTTCATCCGGGGCTATGAGTCTGATCCGGCCTTCGCCACGTTGTATGCGCAGCTATCTTCGGATCACCCGTCGGCCAGCCACTATCGCATTGCCGACGGGTACTTGCTCCTCCACGCGAGAGGCAAGGACTTACTATGTGTCCCACGAGACCGTCGTCTTCGAACTCGCCTTCTCGGCGAGTATCATGATTCGCGACTCGCCAATCAATCTGGAGTCAACCGCACCATTGCACGGCTTCGACAACGGTTCCGATGGCCCGACCTCATTACCGACGTCACTCGGTATTGCGACTCTTGCGAAGTTTGCCGACGAAGCAAGCCCCGCAAACGCAACCTCTACGGCGAGTTGCGCCCGATGCCTATTCCACGGGAACCCGACCTCTCCATTGCCATGGATGTCACCGGACCATTTCCCCGCGATCGCCTCGGGCACGACGGCATCCTCACGGTTGTGGACCGTTTAAGTAAGTACGCGCGTTTTCTCCCTTGCAAGTACTACTCCACGGCTCCCAAGCTGGCACGCCTCTTGCATACCGGTTGGATTTGCGCCCACGGTGTACCGGAAGACATAGTCAGCGACCGCGACACTCGCTTCATGTCGGCATTTTGGACTGCTCTCATGCAGGAGTCCGGCACGAAGATGAAACCAAGTTCAGCTCGGCATCCACAGACGGACGGGCAAACAGAGCGGGCACATCAAACCGCTCAAATGATGATGCTTCGTACGCTCATCCGTCCGGACCAGAAAGATTGGGTTGACCGTCTCCCCGACATCGAGTTCGCCTACAACACTTCAGTGCACCCGACGATCGGCGTGACTCCATTTGAGTTGCACCACGGTAGACGGAAAGGTCGTATCTTCGCCGACCTTCTCCTCCCATGACCAGCCAACATCGACGCCGCTTGCTTTCCCGCTTCCGTCCGGAAGTACATGGAATTGCTGGCTCAAGCCCGCACGAATATGCAAAAGGCTCAAGTCCGCATGCAGCAGCAAGCCAACAGGCGCCGCGTGCCATGTCCCATCCGCGCCGGTGATCTGATTTGGGTCTCCGCGGAAGAGTTTGCACTGGAACAGGAACAGGACGTTTCACGCAAACTGCTTCCCAAGTGGTTTGGACCATTGCCCGTAACATCAGTCGTTGCCGATGAGCCCGATGGCACTTCATTTTTTATCAACATCCAATCTTTCACGCCTCGAAGCTGGCAACATACACACCAGCTAAGAGCGACGACTTCCCGGGCCGACGATCGTAGGACCCTCCATTTATGGATGGTCATCAGGAAGTTGACCGCGTCATCACGGATCGCAAGTACGGCAGCAAGCCTAGGCAGTACAAAGTTACAATTAAAGCATGCGATACCGAATCCCGATGGATTTCAGGAACAGATTTGAAAGCATCCGCACTGCTGATCTACGCTCACTACGAGCGGCAAAGGTTAGCTCAGGGACCTTCACGACTTGCCCCTCCCACCTAGACTGTGGTCCCTCCCTCAGACAGACAGCTTCGCCCTAGCAGGTAAGCTCGGTCTTTCAAGGAGGGGGGGGGGTGGCATACTGCGTAGCCACACGGGCCTCCAGGGCCCGTCCCACATTCTCAGCCTGAAAACCTAGAAATAAGGGCTTACAGGCCCCATGTCGTCTCAGCCTGAAAGACTGGAAAACGAGGGTCTGCAGACCCTATGTCGTTTCAACCTAAAACAGGGCTTTTCAGCCTGAAATGGAGGGCCACTTTCGGACCCTCATAAGATCGACCTGCCCTAACACTCAGGCACAAAACCAGGGTTTCGGGAACAGGCTATCTTTAGCTTGTTCCCACGACAACCTCAAGCAGGAGCTGCAGCGGCAGCCCCTGACTCCCTTCGGCATTGGCAAGAGCAGCCTCCTGGACTGCCTCGCCCTGCATTCAGGAGGCAGGCCGAGTAGTACATAGGGAGTTCCCATGCACTTCACGGGTAGGTAGTTGGACAAAAGGCAGGAGTAGTCTTCAGGATTCGGCCGCAGCACTCAGGAGGAGCGTTGCAGGAGTAGCTTAGAGCTATCAGTAGTCTTCAGCGTTGGGCGCTAGTAGCCATAGCAGTAGTCTTCAGCGCTGGTCGCTAGTAGGTGGTAGTAGTAGAGTTGGGAGAGATGGCTGGCGGCGACCAGTAAGACTTACCTGTGGCGCCATAGCTCCCGCTCCATCTTTGAGGTACGTGCATCAAGGAGCCAACTTCACAGGTTAGTACCAGACTTAGAGAGAGAGAGAGTTCTTCTTTTTCCTCTTCTAAGTCCACCATCTTTTCTTCCCCTCTCACCACCTGACTTCTCAGTATCAGCGAACTGCTACAGAGAGAGAGAGTTGTGACTTGAGACTTGACGACATTGGATCCAGACTCGACATTGGGATTCAGACATTTTGACGAGGGACTATTTGGGCCTGTGCCGAAGACTTAGTGTTGACAACATTCCCATCTTCCCCTCTTCTTCGTCTAACCCCCCTCTTCTTCGTCTGTGTATGGTTGGGGTTGGCGCATTCTTCCTGTGTGAGCGCCATACCCCTTCACACCATCGAATGATAATGATGATGGATGTTCGGGGTTGCATTACAATGTTGATTGTTCGGATCATTGGTATCTAAGTTTTCCGCTGCGCTATCTTGTACTTTGTATTGAGAGGTCGGTTCTTGTTCTGGTCTACACCGTTACAGTATGCAACACCTGCCGTCCCAACTGACGGAGGCAATCCAGCCCCCGTTGTCACTGCCCAACCGGTCACCTGAGAATGGTTGAATTGCTTGTGTTATATTTTTGGATGAATGGTAGCCTAGTCCACAAGTGTTTTTTTTTTTGTTTTTAACCCATACAGACACAGGTGCCCCATCTATTCGGGAGACCGTCAGTCCGGTTGCCAATCCCCTGGGGCGTGGTCCCACTAGCAAAGAGGATCGGATCGAATGTCTGAATTTGGCCGAGGTTATGGACATGTGCAGGAAATCGAGATTGAACTGCTCTTCTGCATCTTTGCATAAAACACGTCCGGATTCAGGAGCTCGATCCTATCCTTCTTGCTAGTGGGTCCCACCGCCCAAGTTTAAGGTTAAAAAACACAACCGTATGACACCATTTTGACATTAATAAATTCGAAACAAGAAATAAAAAAACTGGAAAAAAACGCTAGAAACAGTTTTTCTCCTTATTTTTTATTACGTAACCCGGAGAAATGAAACATGTCTGGCACAGTCGGAGTGAATGTCTCTGTGGAAAAAGGACACTTCCCGTGGTGAGGGGACAGGAGGTCACCATTTGTAAAATGGACAGGGACTACATGGATGGCCTGATGCGTTCATTGCCCAAAGAAGGAAGAGAGTTTGATGCGAGAGAGCCAAACACTGCTGTCAGAGTTCCTCCATTTCAAGGTGTAATGATGTCTAAAAAAAAAAAAAAAAAAAGGTCACATAGGGCCTCGCTGCACTACTCTCGAAATGCGCAAAACGAGAATGAATCTTCCACCAGAATATGGAAAGATACACGACCATGATTTTTGTTTTTTGTGCATATCGAGAGTAGTGCAGCAAGGCCCATAAGGTGAGAAATCAACCCTGGGGGGGGTTGGGTAGTTTTGTAAACTTAAAATCGTTTCCTGCCCAAACGGAAAGGGCCAAAGCATACGACAAAACGGATTTCATGTCAAAGAAAAAATCTACCAAACGACCAAATCTAAGAGGTTATTCGTCCTGTATTTCGGTACCCTGAGATTCTCAATACATCAACAACAGAGCTCCGTCCTACCATGCCACACGTGATAGAAAGCTCAGCGTTGAGAAAAGTCGACTTCGACGATGGGACTTCACCCCAGTAAGTGTGGATAACAAGCAAGATGAACAACAAAATGCAAACCCCCAACATAGGGGTTTTCCTACAACGGCCGAAAGGAGACCTTGGTCGGGAGACTCCCGATGGTAACCAAACACCACAGGTTCCCCCACCTGAAGGTTGTGATGCACCAACTTACGTGTTTGCACTGGTTCCTGTGCCCGCTTTCATTTTTCTTGCTCAAAGGGGTTGTATACTTCACTTTTTGCTATGGTTTTGGAATCTGGCGTAATGCAGTTTGTTTTTGGTGGGGTATCCGCGGGTTATGTTGCACGCAGGCCGCGGCCCGGTTCGGCCGCGGCCGGGGCCCCCCCGGCCGTGGCCGCCCCGGCCGAGAACTTTCGACCGATGCCGCGGTCGATGGGGGAGGGGGTTTGGGGGGCGGGGAATGGGTTTCGAGTCGGGGGGGGTCCCCCTACCTCCTCGCAAAAAAAAAAAACATAAAAACTT